TCATGTACCCATTAATCGTCTTTAACCAAAAGTATTACAAAAGCAATACAGTTCTACAGGTCAGTGGTAGGGCACTGCTATGCCTCTGTCTCATAGTCCAGGGATCACAGTTTGGGAATTGTAATACTAGGCCGTAGTTTACATGCCATTAGACTCTACTGCTTGCCCTGATCTCCAGGTAATAAATACAAATATGAACGTATACACACACATACATGTAAGAGTCTACATACAGGCACGCACATATATGCTACCGTATCAGCATGACGTTTTAGCAAAACAAAACTGCTAACCCTTAAAAAAAACCTAGAGCTGTTTCACCTAATAACAGGGAACCCCTACACATACATTCAGTATAAAAACAAACACTAGCATTTTTAAAGAATTAATGCAAAAAGCTGGTAAATGCTTCCCAGTCCAATCAGTAACACAGGCACCGTGAACCTCAATGGCTGTCCTATGTGATTTATTGTATCTTGGGGCACTTAATATGCTGGGGCCTGTCACAGTACTGGCTGTTTTCAGAGCAGTCAGATGGCCAAAGACCACAATGCAGGGCCAGAGATTATAGGATTATGAACATCAGGCAACAAAAGACAATACCAACAAATGAGTTAGTGAATCTTGAGCTTACATCAAAATGGATAGACTTTGGATACTCACGGACAAGTGCTTCCTTACTCTTTACTCAACTCACTCTAACCAAACTGAAAGATTTTGCTTCCCTCTACACCCAAGTCTCATGGATATAGGTGACACACAATACTGCGCTGTATCCATGCACTGGATACAAACCAAGAGTAACAACATCTATTTTTAAGACAAAAGTGAAAGTAGCACCTTGCCATTTAATCGTACTTCAGCGCCTATCTCCTTTTTACCTGTGTGCTACACTTCACCTCGCTCCCCTCATTTCCCACCCCACTAGCAGGAAGGTAAAGCATTGTTTTGCCTTCCTGATACTTACACGCAAAAAAGGACATATGAATATGACAAGGTCAGATACACCTTCAGGCAATTAATAAAGATAATTTTCCGGACATGATGTGGATGTACCTTTGCTGGAGAAAGCAAGTCTGGCTAAAAGGTATAGCAAGTGTATTCAAATTTGACTCAGAAGAGTTCTTCAAGGTGTTATGAATGTTTATATAAACCTCTACAAGTTTGATAGCTATGGAAGATGTCTTTGAACAGATATGACAGTCTTATTCTATTTCAGTTAAGCTATGAGCTATGGAAGATGTCTTTGAACAGATATGACAGTCTTATCAGTTTTGAAGCATGCTTCGGAATGGTGGTGGGTACGGAATAATCATGAGGTGGTTATGAAATAATCATGAAATAATAAAGAGTCAAATTCCTGATTGAAATTTCCTTCACATCTTAGATATCTAGATTCTTAAGATGTTACCTGCGGCAACATAAAAAACATTTTTCTAGTATAAAATTCTTCATTTAATATAGAACAGAGAAAATAAAACTAAGATTGAAGTACGTAAGTTGAACTGTTGCCAATATAGTGCTATATATATTTAAAAACTTGGGATTATATTTGAAGTATGAAAAAGGCATAACCACAATGTATTGCCCGTCTTCCATTTTTTGTGTGAAAAATATATGTTGCCATCACAGTTTCACTTTTTTTTGCTTTAGTTTGCAGTGTCCTTTAATCAAAGGTGAAGAATTGCCAACAAATTCTCCACTAGCTTTAGAGACTTTGTTTGGCTTGAATACAGAGCAAGTTACGTTTGTTCTTGTCTTATGTTGGGCATTTTAGCATGATGATATTGTTCCATTGCTTTCCACTTCCTTCTCTTAATTTTGATCTTACCAACCTCTCATTTTTATTACTTAAAAAAAAATGCATTGAAGTTTGCTTGTTTGCGCATGAGAAAATATGAACAGAGAGACTATAAATCACTTTTTGTTTCACTCATACTGAATATGACTCATTTGTAGGTAACAATGTCAAACGTGTAAAACTACTTAGTTTAACTGAGTTATTTATCTGTGAAAGGCTTTGAAATATGGTGGATCTATAAACACTATATAAAATTTTATGCATATGACATCAAATTATTTAGATAAGAATTTTATCAAAGGCAGGGCATTTAGTTTCCTCAGCTCTAAAGAACTCCCATTGAAAGATTACTGATCAGGAAAGAAAAGGGTTGAAAAGTGCTGTGTAAGGACAAAGGAACATCAATTACTTGCTTTTTGAATGAGTAAATTTCTACTCATTCAAATAATCCCATGCATATGTCCCATATACTAAGTGACTGTTAAACTGTACATAGGTTGCTGATATGCTGGATTCAGGGTTGGCAAGTTTCTGAACACTTAAATCGTATAGCATCTTGGCTCTCAAAAGTAACCACTATTTTAGCACTAGCATAGCTAGCATATAACTGAAGTCAGTTTTGGAACTGCAACAGGAGATTTCTACGGTTTACTTTCAATGTATATATTATGTTCACACAAATGATTTCTACAAATAATTATCAGATCAATCTATTTTTAAAAAGAAAGACATTCACAATCAATTCTTTCTAGCTCAAAGTAAATATTTACTATTATATATAGTACAGTATAATGCTGGACTACATTTATAATGTACTGCAAAACTTGTGGGATTGCCAGATCCAACTTTTATAAACTGTTATAGAAATTCTTCTAAGAATCCAAGTACAAATACAACTGTAAATGCTCATTAATATTTTAAAATATTCGTAGCAAATACGTAACTGGCCAAATACGCAACTGATTTTCTTAAACTGATATCACAACTATTATACTTTTAGTAAAAGAAAACTTTAATAGAATAAATGACTAAGCAAGTTAACAAGCTACTTTGAAAACTGGTATATACTACATTTACCATGAGGGATGAAATGTACTTTGTACTATTACAAAATAATCTGGATATAAATCTGTTTATGAGTCTTTTCCTGAAGCACTTAACCACTGCTAACCACGTACAAATACTGTTGTGTCCACGTCCCATGGTTTGAAGGATTCTACAACCTTATTTTCAAAACAATGATGAAACATATACGGTGTACACTACCTTTGCAAGTGTGTAACTGGGACTCTCCCTGCCACTCAAAGAAAAAAAACCATCACTGAATCTCAGCCAGGAAAGCAAGGCATTTTCCCCTGAGTTCTTTCTAGGAATTCCTTCCATAAGCTGCTACTTTTTAGTATAGTCCATAAAGTATATTTATTACTCTGACAGGTGCATGGACCTTTGACCAAGGTCCATTTACTCTACCTCTTATGTAATGATATTAAAGCTGTTATGCCAAATGATTTGGAGTTAAAAACATCTTCCACTCTCAACTTAAATACAGACAGACTTTATAAATCTTATGCCAGAAAGAGCTAGCTGTCCTTACATATGATTTTTTTTTTTCCCAAATGAATGGAAGTGTGTCAATTGATCAATAAGGGAAAAAAGTTGACTGAAATACTTTGATATTCAAGAACCCTATGGAATGAATGGAAATGATGGTCCTACTAGATAAACAAAAGAGGATTTTGTTTCTTTGAAGATGATATTTCCATTGTTTCACTGATTTGTGAAAACGTCACAAGGACAAGACAGACTAACAGTAGTCAGACAATGCAATAATGACAATGAGCTCCAACTGTGTGTAGGTGGAAAGAAAATGGAAGAAAGTCTCTCTTCCTGATGCAAATGGAAATCTAAGAGATTAAGGACAGATGAGTTGCTACTGAAGTGCCTGCAGGAAATTACTGTCAATTCAAAATAGTGTGATCTAGCTGTCAACAGTGAGGAGTCTGCATTAGATGGACTAGCTGATCTGCACTAGCGGTCCTATTGACCAATTTATTTATGATACAAGTTATTTTAATAGTAGACCTATTTTCACTTTCCCCAGAGCTTATCCTTTGTAAATGACCAACTTCAGATATAAACAAGCTCAAACATCTTTATGGATCGTGTTTTCCCTGGACATCTGTTTAAATGTCTTTGCCAATAAGACCCATACTGCTAAATGTAACACTTCTCCATGCACAGCACAATGGAAGAGAGCTCATCCAATACTAATCTTAACTAGTATTAGAGTGAAACTTCTGAAGTTAAATCCTATTTCCCATAATACTATTCAGCCCATAAAAGCAGGGAATAGAAGAGGCCAAACACATTATTTCTACTTCCTTCTCAGGACAATATTACCAATTAGATTCAAGCTTAGTGATTTTGTTTATTAAGAATACAGAAATAACTGAATTTGATCTCGGGCTGCTACCGCCATATGAAAGAGGTTTTTTAAATTTTTTTTTTTGTTTTTATTTTTATAAAGAACCTCAAAGGGGAGAAGTGTGTTAATTTTTTTCTCCTCCTACTGAAAGCGAATTAAACTGTCTTTTAAGTTACATTTTACTGTTTATGAACAACCATTAAACTGCAACTATATAGCATTAACAGCATACCTGAAACCAAATTTCAGAACATTACAACATTTCATAACAAGACCAGTGCACTGGCTATAAATCATGCTCAATAGAATACCAATATATTTTCAGGCTGTCATATAATATGGGTTGAGAGGAAAAGTTAATGACCTTTGTGTGCATGCAAAACTGCACAATAAAGTTCATTTGTGAACATAAAATAGCATCTGTTATTGATACAGAAATACTTTCAATGAACTGAACTCAGATCACCATTTGAATTTGATAGACTGCATTTATGCTCCATCTTTAAGTTACTGTAATAAGAAATACTGTAGAAATGGAATACATTGGTTGAAATATACTCTTCTGCTTTTTGGCTTGTGATGAACTTAAAATTCTACAAATACACATGAAGAAATACATCATAGTAACAGATTGTTTGAAAAAAGGAGTGACAAATCTGAAGACATAGCTCCCGATTCTATTTTCTTGTGCATTTTAAGACAGGTTTTAGGATTAATAAGCTTCACCAATTTCTCACTGCATGAAGTGAAACCCATTAGCCACTGTTAACTCACCCTTTTCTGCTCTTTAATATATTCCATCAGTTCCTCTCTTGTCCTTTTCACTGCTTCTTCGATTGCCTTTTCACTTCGTTTTTGCTCTTCCATTAAGGCTTCCTTGACCATTTCCTTTTTAAAAAGAAAACATGTAAGTGTAAATATTAAAAGTATTTCACAAACGTAATACAGGTCATCCCTTTCCTTCCTACTAAAATTTTATCTTGACCACATTCCTTTCTCAATGATAGTTATCCTAAATGTATGCAATATCTTTACAAAAATTTATAAATTCCGTACTTTGATCACTAAAGGGCCTAAAGAAGAATGAAATAATCACTTTAAAGCTGTGTTAATAGATACATAATGTTTCCCGAGAGCAGAAGAAAAGGAAGCAATACAGGTATTACATTCCAACAGAAGCAGGGATGTACTAGTTGCTATTAATAAAATAGAACAGAATAGAAAGTTCCAGGTTGGAAGGGACCTACAACAGTCATCTGGTCCAACTGCCTGAGCGTATCAGGGCTGACCAAAAGTTAAAGCAAATTATTAAGGGCATTGTCCAAACGCCTCTTAAACACTGACAGGCTTGGGGCATTGACCACCTCTCTAGGAAGCCTGTTCCAGTGTTTGACCACCCTCTCAGTAAAGAAATGTTTCCTAATGTTAAGTCTAAAGCTCCCCTGATGCAGCTTTGATCCATTCCCCCACGTCCTGTCACTGGATCCCAGGGAGAATAGATCAGTACCTCCCTCTCCACTTCCCCTCCTCAGGAAGCTGTAGAGAGCAGTGAGGTCGCCCCTCAGTCTCCTCTCCATACTGCATGGCTGTTCAGAACTTACATAAGGGCTGTTCAAACATCACAGCAACCAGAGTCCTAATGACAATGAATTTGTTTCCAAACCTTGGGAAATGCCAGGGTCATTCTGTACAGAGCAGTAAAATGCAACAATGGACACCCACTCCCCACGTTAGCATTACCCTACAACAAATCTGATTCAGTACTAGAAATGCATCACAGTAGAGAAACCAGGAACCACTTCTTAAAACATAGGATAGCTTAATTTATTTTTTTTTTTTATTTAATTATTCACAGGCTTTCAGGCTCTGGTAAAAATGACTGAGTCTACCTTGTACATACACTGGCAGGCTTAGAAGAAATCAATTACTTTGGTGCAGTACTTAAAGCATTTGATTTAAAGTATTCAGTTAAAGCACCATACTTATTTATATGTGAATAATGACTAACATAAGGAGAAATACATAACTTGACAATGTTTGTGAGATAGAATGACAAGCATTTTATTGCTTTGTTTACTAATTAAGAAACATTTGTCAACCTTTGTGACACCTGCTTTAAATACAGAATCTCAGAATGCTAACATGCATTCTTGGTGCTTTACAATTGTGTCGTCTTTGCAGAAAGTATTTTTGCAGGAACTCAATGGTTTTGAATGGATTCACTCTGGAGAACAGGTGGAATTCTAAGGTTTTGGAAGAAGATGATATTTATGAAGTTACATAATTCATCTGTACGTATGAGTGGTATTTTACCATATGCTATTAGTGTACAAAATGAAGAATACCACCACAGAATTGGACCAAACCCCATTTTTTTTAAAGACTCTTCAGTGGAAATGTTTCAACTGAAAAAGAAAGTGTTATTTCTTACCTTTAGCTATTTACTCCTTTTCAGCCAAAACTGAATAGTTTCTGCAAAACTATACTTTTGCTATCTTTATAACAGAAAAAGTCTAAAATCCCAAATTTGAAATGCGCAACTACGTAGTCTCTGGAATACAGCAAATATGAAAACTGTAGTTGTGAAAAGTGATTATAATTTTTTTCTATTTTAATTCAGTTTACCAAAGAAAAATCCTGAGACAAAAGTCTCTCTCACTGCAGAACTCTGGCAAGACTAACGGAAATTTACATATTATAGAAATATGCTGTTCTTGTAATTACATTCTCATGCCAGCTTAATTTGTCAAACGGTCCCAAAATACTGTCTTGTATTAGAATGAAAAAAAATCCCATCATTTACCTCATTAAACTCTTAAAAGCAAATTCAAGAACTGATAAGGTGCTATATTTTAATATGTAAAAAAATTTACATCAATAAAATAATTACAATCAAAGTATGTTAACTTTTCTTGATGTAATGCTACTTGAAAGACTACATAAACAAAGGTCCAAATAAAAATACATTTAAATTCTACAAGTCTATTAAAAAAATGCAAGAAAACAGAAACCACTAGGAATACTTTTATGGAAGACCATTTTATTACACCAAGATTATAACAGAAAAAATGAAATTGGAAAGAATTTTTTTCCATTTACAATGGCAAGTTCCCAAAATTAAGAACAGTATTAATTCTCTGAAGAATATACAGTTACGGATAACAGTGAAAGCAAAGTTGTATAACATCCTGTTGAGGCAATAAGCAAAGCATACCGTAACTATGCTAGTTTTTACTCTTTGTTATCAATACTTATTTCAAGAGCAACAAGTTGACAAAAAAAGTTATTTTCTAACATTCTATATCCTTATTTGTTTTACCACAAGGAACAAAAGATTACTGATTACTTCTATACTATTAAATAAAGAAGTTGTCTTAACTTTTTACTGTCTTTTTTTTTTCTTTGTCACATTCATAATACTTATAAAGTAAGAGTTGTATAATAAGGAGATCCAAGGGTCCTCTTAGCTTCCACAGAAATTCCAAAAAAGGGAAGATTTAAGAATTCAGCCAAGTCCCTCATTGTTTTTCAATGCCTCACTCTACAGCATAAATGTTAGTTTTTTCTATATATTCACAGCATCCAGCAGTTCAGAAAAATTTGAATAATCCTGAACCAGTGGATATTCCAAAATCCCAGTATTTCAAAAAGCAAATACCTATTCCAAAAGGTAACAGGAATAGCTAGTATGTTGAACAGCTATTCCCAGTTCTTTAATCCCTGTGCTTTCTTTAGTCTTATATAGATTTTCTAATTACACAGTGGATGACTCAAAATTTGAGTGAGAACAATTGCCATACCACATAGTAAACAGAGCTTTACTTTAGTAAAGCCTTTGACACCATTTCCTACAGCGTTCTCCTGGAGAAACTGGCTGCTCATGGCTTGGACGGGCGTACTCTTTGCTGGGTAAAAAGCTGGCTGGATGGCTGGGCCCAAAGAGTTGTGGTGAATGGAGTT